CTGTTCACTACCATTCTGGAGAAGAGAATACGCATCTGGATGGAAATCTTTATCTTGCAAGCTGTAGCCACAAAGTACTTATGTAAAACCAAGGGTCGAATTTACGCTTCATTTATCGATTTTAAAACTTTTGACTATGTTGATCGTAAAAACTGTTATACTTGTTATTGCAAAGAGGTTGGCATGGGAAAATGTATCATATACTCAAAAGTATGTTTAGTTCTGTTAAAGCGTGTGTGAAACTTAATTCTTGTAAAACCGATTTGTTCCAACCATCCACTGGTGTTAGGCAGGGCTGTATGTTAAGCCCGATTCTATATATATTTTTTATAAATGAACTTGCAGCTGAAATTTATGAAAATTGTCAACATGGTGTTTTTATATCACAAGATATTGAAGATGTGATGTTGTTATTATTCGCCGACGATATAGTATTATTTTGCTAATAATGTTGTAAATTAACAGAGGCAGCTGTTTTAGAAACATTTTGCTCTAAATGGGTTTATTGTATGTGAATATTATTATGACTTACTCACTTCTATTTATATACAAAAACTGTTTATGTCAAGAAAATCGTGACTAAAATGTTATTCTTAATTTCATTGTAGCTTTGGCGACATGGCCTACATTACCAAATAAAGTCTGTCTGTCTGTCTGTCTGACCTAATGTAAGTAAATATGAATTCAACTCTCTTGTAATATTCATGTTGTAGGCATACAGGTCATTTACCGTACCTTACCATTCCCTTTGTTGATGTTAAAATCACAAAGGCTCTGTGACATACCGCAAAATATCCGTAGAAACAAATCACAAAGACTCCACTCTCACTGTAACCAAGTTCCCTACAAGTGATGTCAAGGACGATGATTCAGCGTCAAATGCTGTCAGATCTTCATCGAATGTCTGGCAAGGTGACATGGCGACACGCTGGAGACCTGGGAGGAATACACGCCCAGGAACATTCGTTCCGTTTAGTGGAGGATCAGTCACCATGTGGGTTGTCTGTTCCATGGCTCAAGGCTGGTTACTATGCACGGGAATCTGAGTTAGAGACACCAACGTCATATGCTGGATCTAACTGTTCTACCACGTTGCAATTATCACCACATTGGCAGCCAGCTCGGACGACAACGCGTGACGCATGGTTCTATCACTAGAGTCATCACGTCATCACAGGGTCCACCTATGTCCACTGTAGTCCAGGTCCAAAATGAGTGAGTGAGTTGCGTTTTACGCCGCTTTTAGCAATATTCCAGCAATATCACGGCGGGGGACACCAGAAAATGGGCTTCACACATTGTACCCATGTGGGGAATCGAACCCAGGTCTTCGGCGCGACGCGCGAACGCTTTAACCACTGAGCTACCCACCGCCCCGATACATCAATGAATTCCTGTGGTACAAACTAAGAAGCGCGACCAGTCGGAAGCTACTTTACAGGAACCGAATGTATGAAGCCCATAGTGATATCAGGCTGGTGTCCCCTACAATGAAATTGCATGAATATTGATAAAAGTGGCGTAAACTATACTTGCCATTTAGAAAGTGGTCAAATGTAACATATGTTACTCTTTCTCAGTAAAGTACAGATTCTAGTACTTTTCTGTAAATGTCACCGTGTATGCATAACTTTCGGCCGTGGGAGCCGTGCCAATTTACATATATCAGAAGTGTACACAAAGTCCGCAGTGGAGACTACCAGTTGTCCGACTTCCATTTGTGTGGAAGCCGCGGCGGCTGAATACGTTAGACGGTTGACTTTGTGTGCTGGCGATAAGGTGCCTGACTCTGAGGGTGCGAGTTCGAATCCCGGATGAGTGAATGAGTTTAGTTTTACCCCGCGTTCAGCAATATTCCAGCCATATGGCGCTGGTCGGTAAATAATCGAGTCCGGACCAGACAATCCAGTGTTCAGCAGCATCGATCTACGCAATTGGGATACGATGACATGTGTCAACCACGTCAGCGAGCCTGACCACCCGATCCCGTTTGTCGCCTCTTACGACAAGAATGGGTTCCTGAATATCAATTCTAATCCGGTTCTTCACGGGTACCTGTATCTGAGGAAAATACCCAAATATGACGCTGACCTCAGTGTGATGTAAAGGATAAAACACGACTCCGATAAAACACGACCTCGGTTTTACAATCCCGACCAAGACCGAGGAGGAGTGTTTTATCCGACTTATGAACCGTCATGAATGCAAAACACAAATATATGTATTATTTTCAATTTGTGCATGTACTGAGCAGAACATCATTGATGGAACAGCCCGCAAATGATGGAACAGCCTGTGTCAACTGGGATGCGACTGGCAGCCAACACTTTGCCTCGCACGTACTCTGCACGCGCTACCCGTGTCCTGCACGTGCGCTGCCCGCAGTACCCGTCTTGTGAGGAACGCATGGTTCATACTGACAAACAATCTCATTCGTTCACAGCGATCCTTCGTAGCCTACCAAACTAGAGAGCGAAGGGTTACGGGTTCGAAACCAGTTATTGCCACTTATTGGGAAGTTTTCAATAATGAGATATTTTACGATCAGTCATAGCATAAATAATCATCATATATAATGGTCATTTCAAAACCTCATATTAGGTTAAATAACGACCATTTGAAAACCTAGCTTATGAAATGGTCGAAATTTAACCTGATATGAGGTTTCGAAACGTGTACTTCAAAACCTGGGTTTAGAAATAATCGGTGCAAAGTCACGGCAGAGGTCTACCTGATTCTGGAAGGAACCTACTTTACTGCAGAGAAAATCAGAGATAGGTTTATAAACATGTCTCGCTAATACGTGATGGCATGTCAGTTCAAGAACATGGTGTTTAGCCGAATGTTCACCAGTACAATGCCAAATCTCGTGATGCAGCGTGGTACAGGAGGCGAAACTGAGGAAGATAAAAAAACAATTTTCGTCAAACAGTTACTGAACGTCATTAGGTAATTGATTTTGGTTTCCGAATTTCAGTGTCAATATTATATATGACTTGTAAACATCAACAAATGTATATTTACATTGACAGCTTAGGGCCTGTATAGTCGTGACGTCACGTTTGAATTGTTTCCGGATTAGGGCTGGGACGGGTAGGAAAAATGGAATCGAGTACCCGCATGTATTTACCCGAATCGGAATCGAGTACCCGGAAAAGTAAGAAATGCAGCGCTTCTGTCAACTTTCTGAATATTCAATCACGAGTATTATAGAAAACTTGAAAGGATGGCAATAAGACATTAATACAGACCTTAGGCTATTTAATTTACGTCTGTTTAACCAATATAAAGAGTAACACCATTACTTACATTCCTCGTTAAAACACAGAACTTTTCGTTTCTGCTGTTACTGTAATTTGACTGCTCATGCGCAGAAAAAATTACAGTCGTTAATAATAACCTTCATTAATCGGACAATACAATGATGTAAATGTGTGTTACGTCAATTATGAAAAACACAAGATATTATCTGCCCTTGTCATCTTTCCGGGTACTCGATTCCAAGAAATAGGACTCGATTCCAGCTGTACCCGACCCGGATTCGAGTACCCTAGTACCCGTCCCACTCTATTCCGGATGTATACACTTGTTTGGCTTGATGTATGCCCCGAGACTTGTAAAAGATTGGTGCTTAAGATACCATCAGGTCAGACAATGAGTTTAGTCAATCTAAACGTTATTTCAGTAAAGTCGCTGTGTCAGCTCAGTTTGTTAGGAAAGACAACCAGGCTCTGCTGTAATATTACAAAAGGAAAATATAATTCATTTTAGCCGAACCGAAGGCGATTTTAAATATAGCTTCCGTGACGCCTTGTCTTAAAATTAGTCCATACTTTGTCTCAGTGTGTGTCAGTATCTGTTTATTTTGACACCTTGAAAAGATACGTCAAGACACTGTGCCGTCGTATTATAAATATCTTTATGTTTCTAATTAATACTTCCCATTGTCGGTGAGTGAGTGAGTGAGTTTAGTTTTTCGCCGCTTTTAGCAATATTTCAGCAATATCACGGCGGGGGGACACCAGAAATGGGCTTCGCACATTGTATCAACGTGGGGAATCGAACCCGGATCTTGAGCGTGACGAGCGAACCACTAGGCTACCCCACACCGGCCCCATAGTCAGTGAATGACCCCAGATAAGATATGAGTTGTTATAAGTAACTGTCTGTTACTACATTTGATGCGTCCGTCTCTAATTCATGGACTGCACTATCGGCGTTGGATTTGCCATGTTAAGTAGTTATCTGACTTCTGCACATTTTAAAACTGCATTGAGTGTACATGATAAGCATCTGATTGTATAACCGTTTAAATGAACACTACTAACTATTAGTCTCGAATATGTCATGCTTCTAACACATTTTGTGCAAGGCAACTGCTAAGCAAGGCTTCTTTGGCAGTTTGAAGACTTTTTCTGGTTCAAATGTAAAAATTGATTCACAAAATTACCAAAGAAAAAACATGTCAAAACAACTTTTGCCTGATGCCATGAGTCCATTATGTCCTTTTCTGTCACATGTTTGAACTACGTCAAAGAATAAACCCTCAATGTAATAACATGACAATCGAAAGTCAGGCGCTAACTGTTCCATACCAAATAAGGGCGTTAGGAGTTAACAATTATGTTTTGAATTCACTTTAATGCAAGGGGACCTGACGGTACATCACAACAAACAACAACGTTTGAATCGTGTTTCATTCATTTACTCGGTAATCCTGTAATCACCATCCATGTTCAAAATGCATTGTTCACACATGTAGTGTAAACTGATTGGACAAGTTCGCAGACCATTATCCCCACCCTGGACTTCATGAGGCTCGCCGTTTGAATGACCGGAGTGACGTCATCACATCTGTCTCTATGAGGAAGTGACCACTATCCCCATGGTTCAATCTCGCAGTGTGATTTTGCCATGTAAAACAGAAAATACAAGATTTGACTTCTACGGATACAAGATGTGTTCAGACAGATCAAATATTATATTTAACAAATAAATAGATACAGCTTATGGCAACTTTATTATGAATGTCCACATAAATAAAAGATTTCCCTTTCAACTGTTTGCAGTTAATAATTCCGCTTTATGACTCTTAACTGTAACTAACAGCATAAAGAAACCGTTTTGTATTCCAATATGACTGTAACCGTGTCCACTTTATACATCGAACTTGTATTGTGATTTATACTACAACAAAAATATCCCATATACCTTTCAAATTAGTCCAAGTAAAATAGAAAAAGCACAGCTTTTATCTTTACAAGCAATTTCAGAGAGTAAACGAAGTGCTATTATTAAAGCGCATTAAAACACACGTACGAGCAAGGTAAGAAAGCAAAACGAAGTGCTATTATTAATGCGCATTAAAACACACGTTCGAAAGCAAGGTGAGAAAATAAAACGAAGTGCTATTATTAAAGCGCACTCAAACACGTTCGAGCAAGGTGAGAAAGTAAAACGAAGTGCCATTATTAAAACGCATTAAAACACGTTCGAGCAAGGTGAGAAAGCAAAACGAAGTGCTATTATTAAAGCGCACTCAAACACGTTCGAGCAAGGTAAGAAAGCAAAACGAAGTGCTATTATTAAAGCGCATAAAAACACACGTTCGAGCAAGGTGAGAAAGTAAAACGAAGTAGTAGTATTAAAGCGCACTCAAACACGTTCGAGCAAGGTGAGAAAGTAGAACGAAGTGCTATTATTAAAGCGCACGCAAACACACGTTCGAGCAAGGTGAGAAAGTAAAACGAAGTGCTATTATTAAAGCGCACTCAAACACGTTCGAGCAAGGTGAGAAAGTAAAACGAAGTGCTATTATTAAAGCGCACTCAAACACGTTCGAGCAAGGTGAGAAAGTAGAACGAAGTGCTATTATTAAAGCGCACTCAAACACGTTCGAGCAAGGTAAGAAAGTAGAACGAAGTGCTATTATTAAAGCGCATTCAAATACGTTCGAGCAAGGTGAGAAAGTAGAACGAAGTGCTATTATTAAAGCGCATTCAAATACGTTCGAGTAAGGTGTGAAAGTAGAACGAAGTGCTAGTATTAAAGCGCACTCAAACACGTTCGAGCAAGGTGGGAAAGTAAAACGAAGTGCTGGAATCAAAGCGCACGCAAACACACGTACGAGCAAGGTGAGAAAGTACAATGAAGTGCTGGAATCAAAGCGCACGCAAAAACGTTCGAGCAAGGTAAGGAAGTAAAACGAAGTACTGGCATGAAAGCGCACGCAAACACACGTACGAGCAAGGCGAGAAAGTACAATGAAGTGCTGGCATCAAAGCGCACGCAAACACACGCAGACACAAACGCTCATGGACTTCACTTCACAAACCAAGACATCAACAAAACATCAATACACACAAGATGTCAGGCACTCATGTGTTGTATATTCTATTCCAGATTGGTATTTTATAATAAGAGGTAAACGCTTTGCAGTTGAAGACATGTAATTCGACAGGCTAACCAAGCACTTTATTTAGTGATCATGTTTCCATAACCCTGAGAAACAAACCACGCCCACAAACAGACTATCGTTCACTGACTGGCTGAGAGTAGAGTGGGCGGTGTTTGCCTTAAATTAGAGCGCTTTTCGACGTTTATGCTAATGAAAATATTATTGATAATTTGCATGAGAATATAATATATCATGCGTTAATAGATAAATTTACTTATAAACCTCTGCGCACATTTTATGCAGATCCGCTAGATGTCATGCACATACGCCAAAACACTGACATCATTTGTTCAATAAAACAGGAAAGTATTTGAATTATGCATTATCAACTAATTTCCATTGGATGCACTGCCAGTACTCACAGTCACATTCACAGCTTCTGTTTGAGGACGTCCTTGACCCTATCGTGACCTTGCATAACGCCACCCCCGTCTCTGTATCTGCACAGTAACATTTCCAGGTAGCAAGGTCATCAATGCTGACGTCACACTGTGAGGCGGCAAAGCTACCGTCAGACGTGCACGTGCGCACCGGCAGATACGACAGGTTCATCTCGTGAAGCACGGACTTCAGGTGCGAGATATTAGTGAGGGTGCGTAAAAGAGAAATGGAACTGTCTGTGACGTCGGATTCGTTGATGAGCTTGACGGTCGTGCTGAAAAGTTGTTTTTGTCTTTGGCATAGTGCCAGAGTTTCTGGAACAAATTAGATTATAACATTACGCACAATAAATGATAAAAATATAACAATATGCAAATATGTAAGTGTTCACTTAACGTGTAACCTGCATGGCCCGGTCATGGAACTTCACCACGCCGGTGACAAACAACGTACCCTCGGTCCGGTTTAGTAAAGTCACATTTGGCGTTCGCGCAATTTGGAACCAGAACCCCGGATGGGGCTCAACTCAAAAAAGTACTAGACTTTATATTTAACTAAGAAAGTGTAATCCCAAATATAACATGTGTTACATTTGATCACTTTCTAAATGGCATTGTGTAATCATAGCTTTCGGCCGTGGGAGCCGTGCCAATTACCACTTATCAGAGGGTACACAAAACCCGCAGTCTAGACTACCAGTTGTCTGACTTCCATTTTGTTGAAGTTGCGGTAGATGAGCGGGTTAGGCGGCTGACTTTGTGTGCTGGCGATTAGGTGCCTGACTCTGAGGGTGTGAGTTCGAATCCAGGATGGGGCTCAACTCCAAAAGTACTAGAATTTGTACTTTAGGAAGAAAGTGTAATTCCAAATATAACATATATGTTACAAAACTGGTTCTTGAATGTACGCTTGTCACCGGAAATGTGGCACCGGAAGTAAGCTGGGCCCGTCTCGCATATCGCAAACTTTAAGGGAGCTGAAAACTATCTTAGTACTGGAACTAGGCCCTATTGGGTATTGACTGTTGTTTATTGATCATTTATTCTGAGAACGCAGAAAACGTCTTCTTTATGTCTGAATCAGACAAATCATCACACAAAACCTAACCATCCTTACAACGTAACACCACTACACTGTAAAAATATAGGTTAGGACTTCATAGTCATAGGTAGCTATTGATCTAATTCTACATCAGCCAAAGAAATTGCAGCTTTCTCGCAAGACATCACAAACCGTAAACATTCTATTTAGTTCACATATTCAAAAGGACAACCAATCATTACAAGTTGATCATAGCGTGCTTCCTTCCGCGACTTCCAGTATTTGTATGTCTTTGTGAGCAGTAACACTTTCTACAGTCCATTTGGTTCAAAAGCGGACCGATGAAATGCAATCTAACTCGAAAACTAATAAACATAACATACTAAATGAAACGCTGATCATAATCAAAACATCCTACCCACTCTGTGAGTTTTTTGCAGAATTTTGTCCTAAAAATAATAAAGTTGTTTAACGAAGGAGGTGTGTAGAAAGGGACAGCCAGGTGTTCGAGAAGCACGTTCACAGACAAAGTTATTTATTCATTCACCTGTGCTGTGCCGTCTCCATACGTTCTCTAACACCTGGCTGTCCCTTTCTCCGCACTCCTCCCTCGTAACAAATCGTGAAATGTGACAATATTTTAATGATAGTTTGTTAAACAACTTGATTATTTTTAGGACAAAAATTCTGCAAAAAACTCACAGAGATGGTCTGATGTTTTGATTATGATCAGCGTTTCATTGAGTATTTTATGTTTATTAGTTTTCGAGTTAGATTGCAATTCATCGGTCCGCCTTTGAGCCAAATGGACTATAGGATAACAATGGCTGTCATCAGCCACTTATTCTTGTATTGTAAACATGTCAACTCTTTATGGACTGATATTCAAAATTGGATAAACAATGCTGCAGAAATTAGAATAGCTTTATTTTGGACATCCGAATAAAAAGGTTGTTTAGCAAACGATCATTATTTTGCTGTCACTTCTTACGAGGGGGGACCACTTGCTGGTAGAATAACCAGGTGTGCGAGTTGTACGTGTGAAATTGAAATTTCACTGCACACGCCTGTTGATTACCCGGCTGTTCTACCAGCAAGTGCCCTCACCCCACCCCCACCCCACCCCTTCGTAACAAATAGTGAAAAGTGACATCAAAACAATGATCGTTTGCTAAACAACTTTTTATTCGGGTGTCCAAAATTATGAGACAAATCATCACAGTTGGTCTGTTGATTTCACGTGACTGTGCAAAATTTGGTTTTGTTGCAGTAATTAGATTTTGTGTTAGTGAGCAATTCATCGGTCTAAAATGAAGTTAAACGGACTATACCTGAGTGTTACCTACTCAGACATGACATCACACTTACTGTTCTCGCCTTGAGTAGGCAGGTTACACATAGGGCCCCAGTGGGTATCTGGACATTGACACAGCTCCCCGTTGGCGATTTTACCAACACAAACACCAGAACTTGTGAACACCCCACACAAGTTGTAATTGTTAACTTCTCTGTACAATGTTGCACAAATCCACTCTGAAATAACAATTGATTGTATTATCATATTCACAACATGACAAGTAGCAAATGAGTGGATTTAAGTTTACGGAACAACTGACAAGTGTAAAGGAAATGTTCTGATTAGGCTCTGTTAGGAAACAATGATATCAAATTCAAATTGATATTATAAATTGTTTATTAGTCACGAGGGCTTTTGGTTTCAAACTGATCGCAATCACGAGGGCTCAGGGAACATAAACAAACATAGTGGAAACATCAACACATGGGCCCGGGGGATCAGTGAACAACGTATTAACCTTACTGAACACCTCAATGTTAATTCTGAACTGTTTGAAGCACTGGTATAAGCACTCATAATAAGGGGTACCAGAATTTGGCAATAAGCCAATACCGACAAGAAAAACATATTTAGAGTTATCTCCCTTCCATCGATTTGCATTCGCAAAACATTGGTAATTTCTGTACATCATACGTGACTCAATTATTCGAGAGAAAGAATTACTAACATGAAGTACCAAATGAGTTCACACAGTTCGGCATTCCCAGCGGGTTACATAAAAAAATGTTACTAGTTTGTAAGCGGGGTACATTGAAACTAATTGAATCAGCCAATCAGAAAACGACATTTATGTGTGAGGTAAGATAATTGTGAATGTCCAGCTCAACACTTACACCTTTAAACTGACTCACTGTGAAAATGTCTACAATCATAAAATGAAGTCTAAATGGGAGTTATAGAAATACATTGAAAAAAAGAAAGTACTAAATCAAAATGGCATCTGAGAAATTCCTGCGATCCGACGAATCAATGGAACCAGCTGCAGGTGAGTGAGTGAGTTAAGATTTAAAGTCACATCGGCAATATTTCAGCTATATCGTGACTAAAAGTAGTTCTAAATTCATAATACATACATATTCCATATGAAACCCTGTCGACGAAAGGCAGTAAAACCACTAGATTATCACAGATTGAGTTGAGTGAGTGAGTGAGTTAATATTTAACGTCACATCGGCAATATTTCAGCCATATCGTGACGAGAACAGATTGACGCTGAAATGGAATACATGCATATTATAAAAACCTGTCGACGAAGGACAGTAAAACAACTAGAATATCACAATTACAACTAAAACAAGTGTGGAAAGTTAAAACTGATAGCGCTATTTGGACAATACAATATAAAAACAGACCAATGGAACCAGGGGTAATCAACGTCTTCTCTCTCTGATGGAACTTATTACTTTAGCAACAGGGACTTTAGCGTCATGTAAGGGTGGTGAACAGTGAAGGGCAGCTGTTTGAAGGATATGAAATGCTGTCTTACTTTCACAGTTCCTCCCAAAGTAGCCATCACGACAGGCGCAGGTATAGTTAGTGGTCCCATGTCCTACACACAGCGCTATTCTCACATGGACTTGACTCACACGGATCTGACAGAAACAAATACATGGTTACGTATACTTTCTCTGTTCACCCAGCAGAAAATAGGTACCTGTGGGAACATGTGACTAAATTATAACCTAGCACCTCACTGGCAGGGTAGGTTATCCGGGGTAATAATAGTCAGATTATTAGTGCCATGAGCATTCACCTGGTGAATTGAGTCTAGCGCTATATAAATGCACTTATTATTATTATGTTTTACAGATTAAAGATTGTATGCAGCAGAGAGGGTTCGGGTGATCCTGGCATCAGCTCAGGGCCCTTGCCCCCTCTACACGCAGCCCAGACAGCGAATAGGACTTCACCCAGGAAAGACTGCCTAGTCGAACCCACCAAACTCTTTCCAGAGAATATGTAGACTCCCCAACACTGCAGCCTTCTGCATTACCCAGAGTGTCATAAGGGCTGTGCACCGGGTGGAGAACCCGGGCACTCTCCACATCTGCGCCAAGAGATCAGGAGGTACCAAACCAAGGACACCGAGAACTATGGGGAGTCTGACGACAGTGCACTTGGGGTGCAAGCAAGACATTTCAAAGGCGAGGTCCGCATATTTATTCATGCTTTTACTGAATCTTGCAAATTACGTTGCTGTCAAAAGGGAAAGAAAATTCAATGATATAAATAAATTCATTGGCTTTATCAAAAAGAACAAGATCAGGTTTGTTGGCTGGAATTATTCTGAGGCTGTGTATGGGCCTATTTCAAAGACGCTTGAACGCATCATTTTCCATGACGCCCTGGACATGTTCAATATGGTTCTATGGATGGACCTCGGAGTCAACAGGCATGGCGAAGACATGTTCTGATGTCCATTCAAATCTCAGTCTGAATGTAATAATTAGTGCATCAGTGACAATGTGTATACAGATTGACAACTTATTCCTGCATCTACCCACATGACACACAGCACACCTGTATCTACCCTCGTGACAGACACTGCCCTGCATCTACCCACATGACAGACATCAACCATGCATCTACCCTCGTGACAGACATCACCCATGCATCTACCCACGTGACAGACAGTACTCCTGCATCTACCCACATGACAGACAGCACTCTTGCATCTACCCACATGACAGACAACGCTCCAGCATCTACACACATGACAGACATAAGTCCAGCATCTACCCACATGACAAACGGCACTCCTGCATCTACCCACATGACAGACAGTACTCCAGCATCTACCCACATGACAGACATCGCTCCTGCATCTACCCACATGACAGACATTACTCCAGCATCTACACAAATAACAAACAGCACTCCTGCATCTACCCACATGACAGACAGCACTCCAGCATCTACCCACATGACAGACAGCACTCCTGCATCTACCCACAAGACAGACAACACTCCATCATCTACCCACATGACAGACAGCACTTCTGTATCTACCCACATGACAGACAGCACTCCAGCATTTACCCACATGAGAGACAGCACTTCTGTATCTACCCACATAACAGGCAGCACTCATGCATCTACCCACATGACAGACAGCACTTCTGTATCTACCCACATGACAGACAGCACTTCTGTATCTACCCACATGACAGACAGCACTTCTGTATCTACCCACATGACAGACAGCACTCCAGCATCTACCCACATGACAGACAACACTCCTGCATCTACCCACATGACAGACAACACTCCATCATCTACCCACATAACAGGCAGCACTCATGCATCTACCCACATGAGAGACAGCACTCCAGCATCTACCAACATGACAGACAGCACACTGCCCTGCATCTACCCACATGACAGACAGCACTCCAGCATCTACCCAAATGACAGACAGCACTCCTGCATCTACCCACATGACAAACAGCATTCCTGCATCTACCCACATGACAGACAGCACTCCTGCAGCTACCCACATGACAGACATCACCCATACATCTACCCACATGACAGACATCACTCCTGCATCTACCCACATTAGAGACAACACTCCAACATCTACCCACATGACAGACAGCACTCCTGTATCACATTACGACCGCGTGTTGCCGTAACTCTCTCTCTCTCTATATATATATATATATCTCACACACACACACACACACACCATACGACGAACTTGTCCCACGATGTAGACGTACCTGATATTTGACAGTGTAAGAATCCAGCAGTCAGAATTAAAACTGACACAGTGGCTTCTTGTATTCGTCCCATGACCTGAAACTTTCATATTTAAAAAATATTAACTCACTATTTTCAAGATACATAATCTTTTATGAGCGTAATTTTTATTTAGGACACGCTTGTCAGTTTAACCAGAATCATTTTTTTTGAAAGAAAGAATATATAGTTAAATTACTTTTACGCTTCAATAGCTTTTAAGTCGCCACCACCCATATTTACCACCCCTCCTCCCCAGTCCCGAGTCCCTGGGGCGGTGGGGTAGCCTAATGGTTAAAGCGTTGGCTCGTCACGCCGATGACCTGGGTTTGAATCCCCACATGGGCACAATGTGTGAAGCCCATTTCTTGTGTCTGGCTTATCATGTGAGACTATATGGCTTTCATGGAATGATCCGTCTATAAATGTGTACACAATATACTACCTGCCCAGAAAGAGGCGACTATAGTGTGAGCTGTCGTATGCATATTTGGTGAAAATCAACTTCTCACCTCTGATGTGTCTTGCCCTTTGCTGTACGTCTCAGATGAAATTAACCACCCAGGTCACCATAACCTTGGACAATACAGCTTGTCAGAAAATATGATTTTCATTTTTTTTTATTTTACCGAAAACTATGTGGAACAAGTACAGGGTTCATGTTCAGCCTAATGTAAATAAGTATAGTTTAATTTCAAAGAATAATTTCTGACTATGCTGACAAGATTGATGTAGTGGATTCATCTGGAATCAGCCTGGAGTGGTATTCAGAACAAACTATAACCTTCAACCTAACTTCAGGGCGGTGGGGTAGCCTAGTGGTTAAAGTGTTCGATCGTCACGCCGAAGACCCGAGTTCGATTCCCCACATGGGCACAATGTGTGAAGCCCGTTTCTGGTGTCCCCCGCCGTGATATTGCTGGAATATTGCTAAAAGCGACGTAAAAATTAACTCACTCACTCACTAGTTTGTACCACAGGTATTCAGAACAAACTATAACCTTCAACCTAACTTCAGGGCGGTGGGGTAGCCTAGTGGTTAAAGTGTTCGCTTGTCACGCCGAAGACCCGAGTTCGATTCCCCACATGGGCACAATGTGTGAAGCCCATTTCTTGTGTCCCCCGCCATGATATTGCTGGAATATTGCTAAAAGCGACGTAAAACTAAACTCACTCACCTAACTTCAGGGGGTGTCACAGAAGTAGGGGGCATGGGGCCATGTGCTTATCATTCAGGGTCTGTTGCTTGTTATCATGTTTATAGTGCTTTGTTGTACTTATCATCATCATCAACTCAGTCAGTCAGTCAGTCCCGATTCCCCATCCCCAATATCAAACGGTCGGTCCTTATTACGCCCGCGAGAATTCCACGCGTAACAAGCAATAATTTGAATAGAATGCTGAAAGTAGTATACGTTAGATAAACTTTTTTTTACATACACATGACATTACTTTATAATTCTCTATTATCAATTAAGTTATATACGTGTACTCACTTCAGCCTCCTCTGGCAATGTTCCCTCATTAGGTACTGCAAATTGATAGGTAATTTTCTGGAATTGGAAGAAAACACATTCACGCTCTTGGAAGCGTCAGTCTGTCAGGATTGACAGCGCTGTGATCAGTGTAGCTGTTTTCAGTCCCGTTGCTTGATATACAAGTAGGTAAATGTACACTTTGTAAGGATGTCCCAAATTGATTTGCCAGTCGGCTATGTTAAGTATCCAGTCATGACTAATACGAACAATACCCTGAGAAATCCACGTATTCATTATTCAAACATGTCATGTTCAATGCGCACTGAGGGTTGAATAGGCAAGTTTAAATTTAGATGTTTCCTTGACATTTAGGGCACTATAGACTATAGCTTGTTCAGCCTGTCAGACTACATTAGAGTTGCTACCGTGGAGATAAGGTCAAAGGTACAGGTGGTGGAAAAGAGAATAAATAATATTGCTCCCCAGTTGTTGAAAGGCTTTTATACTCGAATGTGTGGTGCATAACAGTACTTCCTGCTTGACACCACTGATGAGATTGAGGCTTGAATTGATTGATTGAGTTTAGTTTTACGCCACATTCAGCAATATTGCATCTATATGGCGGCTGTCTGTAAATAATCGAGTCTGGACCGGACAATCCTGTGATCAACAGCATGAGCATCGATCTGCGCAGTTGGGGTACGATGTCATGTGTCAACCAAGTCAGCGAGCCTGACCACCCGATTCCGTTAGTCGCATCTTACGACAAGCATGGGTTACTGAAGATCAGTTCTAACGTAGATTTTCAAGGGTAGATTAGCTTGAAACACAACAACAATGTTAGCACAGGCACTTCCCGCTTGACAATGGTGATAAGATAGGGTTGAAACGCAACAACAATGTTACCACAGGCACTTCCCGCTTGACAATGGTGATGAGATAGGCTTGAAACAGAACAACAATGTTACCACAGGCACTTCAGACTTGACAATGGTGATAAGATAGGCTTGAAACAGAACAACAATGTTAGCACAGGCACTTCAGACTTGACAATGGTGATGAGATAGGCTTGAAACAGAACAACAATGTTACCACAGGCACTTCCCGCTTGACAATGGTGATGAGATAGGCTTGAAACAGAACAACAATGTTACCACAGGCACTTCCCGCTTGACGCCAGCTCGGACGACAACGCGTGACGCATGGTTCTATCACTAGAGCGTCATCGCAGTCACCCCAGGGACCACCAAGAGTCCACTTCTAATTCATCAATGAGTGAGTGAGTTGGGGTTTACGCCGCTTTTAGCAATATTCCATCAATATCACGGCGGGGGACACCAGAAAATGGGCTTCACACATTGTACCCATGTGGAATCGAACCCGGGTCTTCGACGTGACGAGCGAACGCTTTAACCACTGAGCTACCCCACCGCCCCGATACATCAATGAATTCCTGTGGTACAAACTAGTGAGTGAGTGAGTTTGGTTTTACGCCGCTTTTAGCAATATTCCAGCAATATCACGGCGGGGGACACCAGAAATGAGCTTCACACAATGTACCCATGTGGGGATTCGAACCCGGGTCTTCGGCGTGACGAGCCAACGCTTTAACCACTAGGCTAAGAAGCGCGACCAGTCAGAAGCTACTTTACAGGAATCGAATGTATGAAGCCCTTATTCTGGTGTCCCCAACAATGAAATTGCATGAATATTAAAGTGGCGTAAAACTATACTTGCCATTTAGAAAGTGGTCAAATGTAACATATGTTATATCTGGGATTACACTTTCTCAGTAAAGTACAGATTCTAGTACTTTTCTGTAAATGTCACTGTGTATGCATAGCTTTCGGCCGTGGGAGCCGTGCCAATTTACACATATCAGAAGTGTACACAAAGTCCGCAGTGGAGACTACCAGTTGTCCGACTTCCATTTGTGTGGAAGCCGCGGTGGCTGAATACGTTAGACGGTTGACTTTTAGTGCTGGCGATTAGGTGCCTGACTCTGAGGGTGCGAGTTCGAATCCCGTATGGGACTCAGTCCAACAAAAGGACAAGACTCTGTACTTTACTGAGAAAGTGTAATCCCAAACAACATGTGTTTCACTCAAAACAAGCAAATTCTTTTTTAGTCACCACTCAAAGCAATCAAAATAGTCACAACGCATATCAAACACTTTAGACGCCGTTCAAAACGAACACATATTGCCCGGGACAACTCCAATCCCAGCAGGTTTGCATGTTAAATGATATCTGATACATACACAGTTTGATTTTTATATATTGAATGGGTTTTGAGTTTTACTCCAGGAAAGGAGATTTCAAGAATATCCTGATTACCAAAATTTAGCATTCGTCTGATGTCCAAACAATTGAAACACACAGTGGCTGTCGGAAGCCATTCCAACACCTGAAGGTGGCCACATATAGTGTGGGTAACATGTTATTCCTGAAAGTACTGTCTTTGGGTTTCCAAACAAAAGATTTTCTATAAACGAATGTATCGTGGGTCTACCTTGTACATCTGCAAATGGGCAAACCCGAGCACTTCTGTTCTTTCATATAGCACGTACATCTGAGTGAGCGAGTGAATGAGTTTAGTTTTACCCCGCGCTCAGCAATATTCCAGCCATATGGCAGTGGTCGGTATATAATCGAGTCTGGACCAGACAATCCAGTGATCAGCAGCATCGATCTACGCAATTGGGATACGATGACATGTGTCAACCATGTCAGCGAGCCTGACCACCCGATCCCGTTAGTCGCCTCTTACGACAAGCATGGATTTACTGAAGATCAATTCTAGCCCGGATCTTCACGGGTCCCTGTATCTGAGGAAAATACCCATATATGACGATGATTTCAGTGTGATACATGATGACATGTCAGTTCAAGAACATGGTATTTAACAGATTGTTCACCAGTACAATGCCAAATCTCGTGATGCAGTGGTGAGGTGAGGTGAGGTGAGGTGGAATTGGGTTTTACGTCGTGCTTGAGAATATTTTGCTCATATGACGACGTGCATGCGTGTGTATGTGTATGTGCGGCTGCTTGTACTAGCCCAGACTGGTTTTATAGTGCTAGCCCACTGAGATACCATGTCGCAGTGAAGCATGAATACCCTACTCAGACACATTATACTGACTCTGAGCCGACCAGTCCTTGTTGTACCCATTAATGTCGAGCGCCAGACAGGGACCAACAAGTACCATATTCTAACGTCTTTTGGTATGACGCTGTCGGGGATAGAATCCCCGACCTTCCGCTCTCTGGGCGGACGCTCTAACCACTACACCACGGAGGCGGTCGCACATCTTAAAACTGCATTGAGTGTAAATGATAAGCATCTGATTATATAACCTTTTAAATGAACACTGTTGGCTATTTGTCTCGAATATGTCATGCTTTGAACACATTTCGTGCAAGGCAACTACTAAGCAACGCTTCTTTGGCAGTTTGAAGACTTTTTCTGGTTCAAATGTAAAGAAATTTATTCACAAAATTATCAAAGGAAAAAAACATGTCAAAACATCTTTTGCCTGATGCCATGAGTCCATTGTGTCTTTTTCTGCAACATGTTTGCACTATGTAAAAGAATAAACATGAGTGAGTGAGTTTAGTTTTAGGCCGCTTTTAGGAATATTCCGACAATAGAATGGCGGGGGACACCAGAATTGGGCTTCACAGATTGTACTTATGTGGGGAATCGAACCCGAGTCATCGGCAACCGAGCGAACGCCTTCACCACTAGGCTACCCCATCGGTCCCATAGTCGATATGATTGTTATCAGTGACTGTCCGTTATTCATTCACAAAATTACCAAAGAAAAATACCCATGTCAAAACAACTTTTGCCTGATGCCATGAGTCCATTATGTCCTTTTCTGTCACATGTTTGAACTACGTTAAAGAATAAACCCTCAATTTAATAACATGACAATCGAAAGTCAGGCGCTAACTGTTCCATACCAAATAAGGGCGTTAGGAGTTAACAATTATGTTTTTAATTCACTTTAATGCAAGGGGACCTGACAGTACATCACAACAAACAACAATGTTTGAATCGTGTTTCATTCATTTACTCGGTAATCCTGTAATCACCATCCATGTCCAAAATGCATTGTTCACACATGTAGTGTAAACTGATCGGACAAGTTCTCAGACCATTATCCCCACCCTGGACTTCATGAGGCTCGTGGTTTGAATGACCGGAGTGACGTCATCGCATCTGTCTCTATGAGGAAGTGACCACTATCCCCATGGTTCAATCTCGCAGTGTGATTTTGCCATGTAAAACAGAAAATACAAGATTTGACTTCTACGGATACAAAATGTGTTCAGACAGATCAAATATTATATTTAACAAATAAATAGATACAGCTTATGGCAACTTTATTATGAATGTCCACATAATTAAAAGATTTCCCTTGCAACTGTCGGCAGTTAGTAATTCCGCTTTATGACTCTTAACTGTAACTAACAGCATAAAGAAACCGTTTTGTATTCCAATATGACTGTAACCGTGTCCACTTTATACATCGAACTTGTATTGTGATTTATACTACCTTTCAAATTAGTCCAAGTAATATGGAAAAAAGCACAGCTTTTATCTTTACAAGTAATTTGAGAGAGTAAAACGAAGTACTAGTATTAAAGCGTACGCAAACACACGTTCGAGCAAGGTGAGAAAGTAAATCAAAGTGCTATTATTAAAGCGCACGCAAACACACGTACGAGCAAGGTAAGAAAGTAAAACAAAGTGCTATTATTAAAACGCACGCAAACACACGTTCGAGCAAGGTGAGAAAGTAAAACGAAGTGCTATTATTAAAGCGCACGCAAACACACGTACGAGCAAGGTGTGAAAGTAAAACGAAGTGCTATTATTAATGCGCATTAAAACGCACGTTCGAGCAAGGTAAGAAAATAAAACGAAGTGCTATTATTAAAGCGCACTCAAACACGTTCGAGCAAGGTGAGAAAATATAACGAAGTGCTATTATTAATGCGCACTCAAACACGTTCGAGCAAGGTGAGAAAATATAACGAAGTGCTATTATTAAAGCGCACGCAAACACGTTCGAGCAAGGTGAGAAAATATAACGAAGTCCTATTATTAAAGCGCACGCAAACACGTTCGAGCAAGGTAAGAAAATATAACGAAGTGCTATTATTAAAGCGCACGCAAACACGTTCGAGCAAGGTGAGAAAGTAATACGAAGTGCTATTATTAAAGCGCACTCAAACACATTCGAGCAAGGTAAGAAAGTAAAACGAAGTGCTATTATTAAAGCGCACGCAAACACGTTCGAGCAAGGTAAGAATGTAGAACGAAGTGCTATTATTAAAGTGCAATCAAACACGTTCGAGCAAGGTAAGAAAGCAAAACGAAGTGCTATTATAAAAGCGCACTCAAACACGTTCGAGCAAGGTAAGAAGGCAAAACGAAGTGCTATAATTAAAGCGCACTCAAACACGTTCGAGCAAGGTAAGAAAGTAAAACGAAGTACTGGCATCAAAGCGCACGCAAACACACGCGCAGACACAAACGCTCATGGACTTCACTTCACAAACCAAGACATCAACAAAACATCAACACACATAAGATGTCAGGCACTCATCTGTTGTATATTTTATTTCAGATTGGTATTTTATAATAAGAGGTAAACGCATTGCAGTTGAAGACATGTAATTCGACAGGCTAACCAAGCACTTTATTTAGTGATTATGTTTCCATAACCCTGAGAAACAAACCACGCCCACAAACAGACTATCGTTCACTGACTGGCTGAGAGTAGAGTGGGCGGTGTTTGCCTTAATTTAGAGCGCTTTTCGACGTTTATGCTAATGAAAATATTATTGATAATTTGCATGAGAATATAATATATCATGCGCTAATGGATAGATTTACTTAAAAACCTGTGTGCACATTTTATGCAGATCCGCTAGATGGATTCATAAGTCGTGCACATATGCCAAAACACTGACGTCATTTGTTCAATAAAACAGGAAAGTGTTTGAATTTTGCGTTATCAACTAATTTCTATTGGATGCACTGCCAGTACTCACAGTCACATTCACAGCTTCTGTTTGAGGACGTCCTTGACCCTATCGTGACCTTGCATAACGCCACCCCCGTCTCTGTACAGTAACATTTCCAGGTAGCAAGGTCATCAATGCTGACGTCACACTGTGAGGCGGCAAAGCTACCGTCAGACGTGCACGTGCGCACCGGCAGATACGACAGGTTCATCTCGTGAAGCACGGACTTCAGGCGCGAGATATCAGTGATGGTGCGTAAAAGAGAAATGGAACTGTCTGTGACGTCGGATTCGTTGATGAGCTTGACAGTCGTGCTGAAAAGTTGTTTTTGTCTTTGGCATAGTGTCAGAGTTTCTGGAACAAATTAGATTATAACATTTCGCACAATAAATGATAAAAATATAACAATATGCAAATATGTAAGTGTTCACTTAACGTGTAACCTGCATGGCCCGGTCATGGAACTTCACGACACCGGTGACAAACAACCTACACTCGGTCCGGTTTAGTAGTCACATTTGGCGCTCGCGCAATTTGGAACCAGGACTGGTTCTGGAATATATACGTTTGTCACCGGAAATCTGATACCGGAAGTAAGCTGGGCCCCGTCTTGCATATTGCAAGTTGGCGCGCGCAAAGGGAGCCGGGAACCAGCTTAGTACTGGAACTAGGTATAATTGGGTATTATTGACTGTTGTTTATTGATCATTTATTCTGAGAACACAGAAACGTAAACGTCTTCTTTATGTCTGAATCAGACAAAACATCCCACGAGACCTAACCGTCCTTACAACGTAACACAACTACATTGTAAAACATATAGGTTAGGACTTCATATGTAGTGATAGATAGCTATTTATCTAATTCTACATTAACCACAGAAATTGCAGCTTTCTCTCGCGTGGCATCACACACCGTAAACAATCTATTTACTTCACATATTGAAAAGACAACCGATCATTACAGATCATAGCATGTTTCTTTCCGCGACTTCCAGTATTTGTATGTCTTTGTGAGCAGTACAACTCTCCAGGAAAACAATGGCTATAACATGAATGTGTCATCAGAAACTTGTTCTGGAATTGTAAACATGTCAACTCTTTATAGACTCATATTCAAAAGTGGATAAACAATGTTGCAGAAATTTGAATAGCTTTCAATAAAGAAAGTGATATTTGGGAGTTTCCCGCTAAAAACAATGACCCTTTATATACTAGGCACATAAAGAAACTGTGCATACAAAAATTAAAATCTAAATTTATCAAAGCTGTGTAGACACATAAGGATTTAAACACAGAGATGTGACATGTAGTGACATGTATCCAACATGCATGCACGTGCCACGTTCCGTGACGTCAGTGGGTTCGTCATTGAGACTTGCAATACCTTGTTGCACGTGCATTCCGGGAAAGAGAAACAGAGCAAATGAATGCCACACAATACTGTCACTTTGGAAAGCTCAACCCCTGCCCTTGCGATCGTTCAAAAAATTAACGGCTATTGAAACGCATAGCATGCCAAGGCTCACGTCTGCACAACGTCATGAGGCCATTGGGATGGTCCGTGGGGGAATGTCTCAACGACAAGTGGCTGCACATTTCCACTGCCACCGGAACACCATTTCTGCACTGGTGAGACGCTACCAGAACACAAATAACGTCATCGATCGGCCACGTTCTGGACGTCCACGTGTAACAACGCCAAGACAGGACATATGGATAAGGGTGACCCATCTTCGCCACAGGTTTCAGACTGCAGTGATGACTGCCCGAACCATCCCAGGACTTCGCCGTATCCACCCCAACACAGTTCGACAACGTTTACGTCATCACGGGATCAGACCACGACGTCCCGCCATACGGCCTATCCTGACACAACGTCATCGACAAGCTCACCGAATGTGGTGCCGAAATCATGTCCGCAGACCCTTGTTTTGGTGGAGAAATGTTGTTTTTTACAGATGAGTCCAGGTTTAACATTTCCCATAGTGATGGACGTCAACGTGCCTATAGATGCGTGGGGAGAACGTTATGCACAGGCCTGTGTCTTGGAGAGAAATCGCTTTGGTGGTGGTGATGATTTGGGGTGGAATAACAGCACGCCAAAGAACTCCGTTGGTGATTGTTCAGGGCAACTTAACTGGTGTGGGCTACAGGGATCAGATTCTTCGACCTGTGAAAATTCCTTTTCTGCAACGTCATGGCCCTGGGTTAACATTCCAACAGGACAATGCCCGCCCTCATACGGCAAGGGTTGCTATGGATTTCTTGCAACACCACAACGTTGACTTACTGCCTTGGCCTGCAAATTCACCGGATCACTCCCCGATAGAGCATGTTTGGGACGAGATGGGTCGACGTCTACGCCGTCTTCCTCATCCGCCAGATAACGTCCTTGACCTTGCAACAGAACTTGAGAGAATCTGGCGTGACATCCCAAAGCCTTCCTTGCACGTTTGACAGGCTCTATGCGTCGTCGATGCACTGCTGTTCTCAATGCCGATGGTGGACATACCCGTTATTGAGCTTGTGACATGGTCGTTTGACCCCTGTCCCGCTTGTGGACTCGTGACGTCATTGTGATTGACTTTTCAATTGAAATTCTCCCGACTTGTTATGGTCTCATGATCCCTCCATTAAAGTTTATATGTACCTTTGACATTATTATCGTACTTATCAACTGGGATAATATTTTGACAATGCACAGTTTCTTTATGTGCCTAGTATAGTATGACCAGAAATTATTGAGAATTTTAGGAATATGTTTAATTGGATTTCTAGTATAAACAACCTTGACCAGCTATCAAGTGCTTGGTTGCATTCAAGAGAGACCACTCCGTTACTTTACTTACTAGCAGATGACATTTTCAGTGATCCTCAGTATGGATTAATTAGAGAAGACGAAGTTGATTTAGAGTATTATAACAAGGACATCAGATCAGCTAAAGTGATTTCAAGTAGAACAGGCATTCCTTTGTTCGCTGTTTATCGTGTTTTGAAAATGGATATGGCATTGAGCACCAGGGAGGCGCAGGCAGGCCCGGAAAATTGACTGTCGGTGACAGGAGGCGGCTTGGTATTCTTGTTTCTAAAAACAAACGATGGAGTTTAGAAAACTTAAGACTGGATATGATTGATAGAGGAATTGTGGCTGCCTGTAAGGAGACAATTAGAACTGAGCTGCATGCAATGGGTTGGCAGAAAAGTCGAGGAATTCCATCACCGATCATGAAACCTGAACAAAAGTAGCGAAGGTTGAACTGGTGCTTACAGCAGAGAAATTTTAACTGGGACAATGTGATTTTCTCAGATGAAAGTTCTGTGTGGCTGTTTCCTAATACACTGACATTCTGGACCAAACAAACTGAAAAAACCTTTGTATCAGCGCCCAAAGTACAGTCCGACATTGAACGTGTGGGGTTGCATATCTGTGTTAGGGGCAACGCCCCTCTGTGTATTTGAAGGGAATATGAACAGTGAGCGGTACACAGATATTCTCGAGGGACATTTACTTCCATTTGCTAACGTGTTCTATGGACATTTTTGGATTTTCCAGGAGGACAATGACCCAAAACATCGTTCAAAGCATTCACAGGCCTGGTTTCGGACCCCAAATATGACCAAGCTATAGCCCTGACCTAAATCCAATAGAAAATGTTTGGGGACTTATGAAGGAAAGTGCTAATAAGAAAAATCTGACAAATATTGCTGAAATGAAAGAAGAGGTGGTCCGATATTGGGACAGCATCGACCACGACTTTCTAACTTCTTTGATCAGTAGTATGCCCCACCGCATTGAAGCCTGCATTGCTGCCCATGGTGACTTGACAAAATACTAACTGTTCACCTGTCTTTGAATCTGGAGTTATGTTCTGCTAATATTCACATTCAATACGTGAGTAATGAGTGAAAGAAATAAAAGATTTACAATCTTTAAATTCTCAATAATTTCTGGTTGTACTGTAAATGCTATAATTCAGGTTATAAAATACCTTATTTTTTAATCGTATTCCAAACAAAGACTTTTGAGTCTTGAGGTTGTCCAGCAAGAGTTGACAAACTACTATGATATTACTAAAGCAATAGCGTTTTCAACTTGTGATTAAAATAAATTTGTTAAGTTTTGGTCCAGCTGATGTCACCGTTTATTTGCTGACACTGCTTGTGAATGACGTAACCATTCACTTTTTATGCCAAATCAACTTGTCATATACATTGTTTAACCGCAATTGTATCTCACGTTTATTTTGTAATCATTATTGATCTGTAATGAAGTCGATGTATGATATGCGGTACGAAAACAAGTGGAATAAAAAAAAAATCGAAAGTAAAAAAAGTCTCCAGGACAACAATGGCTATAACATTCATAATCCAAGCTAGCATTCAACGTTGGTTCTCTAATGACATTTACCTTGTCAACGTTGTGATGGTTGCACCTTTGCAGTTCAGAGAAAAATCATATTTTGAATATCATAGTCAAACCATGGTTCCTCCAAAGAGCACATTGAAGAAGCAACAAGCATACTGTGTCTACGTGTGTTAACGCAGGCATACCTACTGAACCCTCTCAGACAGGACAACGCAGTGTTAACGCAGGCATACCTACTGAACAGTCTCAGACATGACAACACACTTACTGTGTGTTAACGCAGGCATACCTACTGAACCCTCTCAGACAGGTCATCACACCTACTGTGTGTTAACGCAGGCATACCTACTGAACCGTCTCAGATATGACATCACACTTACTGTGTGTTGACGCAGGCATACTTACTGAACAGTCTCAGACATGACATCACACTTACTGTGTGTTAACGCAGGCAAACCTACTGAACAGTCTCAGACATGAATCACACTTACTGTGTGTTAACGCAGGCATACCTACTGAACAGTCTCAGACATGACATCACACTTACTGTGTGTTAACGAGGGGAAACCTCCTGAACAGTCTCAGACATGAATCACACTTACAGTGTGTTAACGCAGGCAAACCTACTGAACTCTCTCAGACATGACATGACACTTACTGTGTGTTAACGGAGGCATACTTACTGAAGAGTGTCAAACATGACATGACACTTATTGTGTGTTAACGCAGGCATACCTACTGAACAGTCTCAGACAGGACAACACAGTGTTGATGTAGGCATACCTACTGAACAGTCTCAGACAGGACAACACAGTGTTGATGTAGGCATACCTACTGAACAGTCTCAGACATGAATCACACTTACTGTGTGTTAACGCAGGCATACCTACTGAACAGTCTCAGACATGAATCACACTTACTGTGTGTTAACGCAGGCATACCTACTAAACCCTCTCATACATGACATCACACTTACTGTGTTTTAA